ACAGACGCTGCCAAACTGATCATGTGGATATAACAACGACATACGTTTTGTCGGTCGCATCAGAGAACCCGGCGTTCATCCAGAATCATTTCACAATGAAAATACTACACAAAACGTTTTGTTTTTAGATTAAGTGCTACTATTTCAATTATGTGATTTTGATTGTTTTAGTAAATGGAAAAAATGTCTATGCTTGGGATATTATTGGAATCATCGGTGCGTACATACATTAGAGTCAACAATTCTCGATAGTATTCATAATTGAACTCATCCAATGCACTGATGAGTGGCAATGAAACATATTCTTTTCACGCATTGTCCGGGGATATATTTTGGGTATTGGTATTTCTCATCAGATTTCGAATGCATACAGCTACACGCCAGTGTCGAACGTGGCTGCCAAATGCTTCTAGTCGACTCGGATTTCCAGGGTACTAAATGATAAAAAATTTAGTCAAAACAAGACTTAAATAGGAACCTTCCAAGCCCAGGGATTGCACCAAAAAAATCATTGGACACTATTGTTTATTTTATTTACAAAGTTAGTCTATCTTTTGTTATCCATTGTAATTTTAATCCAGAAAGTAAATTTGTTGTGAGATTAGGATTAACTGGAAGTGCTCCTTTAATATGGATATATCAAACGAGACCGATTTCTGATCTCTGATATATCTACTTGTTACAAAAATTAGAGGTTCATTTCCATCAGTTTCTGAGATGATTTCCAGAAAAATTTTGATTTTATTTTCCGATTACCCCAGTAATTCTATTCGATGATATTTATTATGTAACACATAGCCTATTTAGTTATTCAAACAAATATCACCAAATGAACATATTATTACAACTGTATCAATTTACAATACAGAACGGTGGATAGGACTCTACTCCAGTTGTAAATCCCTCTGTGTATTTAAGTAGGCGAGATATACATGGCTAGATCTTAGCGTGCTTATTGACTACCGTGCCCGCTACTTACGTGTAAGTGAATCCAATTGGGTAGTTCATGGGATGGAATTACCGACTGTTAATGAAGGTGTGCTATAGGCTGCATACACGGTGTTTACATGTACCGATACTAGTCGAAGTCATAAAGTGGTTAGAATAGCAGTAATTACAGACAGTGCCGCGGGGATGACCACTCCATGTCTCTTCTGTACCACCGCATTTAAAATCACTTTTGCACCGGAAATGAAATTTCCAGGAGCGAGCCTCGATCTGAGGCCATTTATCGCATCGTTTGCTTTCAGCATAATTTCAATCTAGAACTTGTTCGTACATGTGAATAAAGTACGGAGTGTACATGACATTACGATACTTTTTTAATGAATTTTGTGAATAGATTTGGCAATATCAAATGTTTTACTTAGGTTTGATATGAAATCGCAGAACTTAAACATGAGCGTGTGTGTACATTTTAGAGGTGTTGTATTTATTAAATCTTTCATATTGAATCGACATAAATATGTAGGAGTGGCCGGACTAGCAACTGCGACCACAAAACAATTTGAGAACGTTCACCTTATTTTAAAATATTTTGTTTTGTTAATTGTCTATTTAAAAAAAATGTTTTTATTGGGAAATGTTCTATCAACACTACGTCACTGTGCAGATATTCCCGCCATGTTGGCAGTATTGTAAACATCGCAATACATTACAAGTAATTGAAGAATAAAGATGAAAAAGCAGGGTAATATGATTGTAACTTCGAAAATATAAAAAATGAAAATAACCACCAGACATGGACATGAAGTCAGTATCCGGGGAACATAAGCACAAAAAATATCTGTGGATACTAGGTTTGAAACTTCACAAAAGCAGATACGGGATGGAAACAAAAAACGACAAATCGCGTCCATTATGTAAGTAGAGTTAACCTTCTGTGGCGCGGTGTCTCGGGGGTTGACGACGTTAATGGAATCAGGCCTATTTAACGTAGCTAATACGCGCACAAATCAGTACTTTCCGTCAAATTAATGCTTTAACTTGCTAGTAGCACTTTCACATTAGAGACGGATATCAGGTAAAAGACCGGCTCACAACACTTTTATTTGACCATTTTGCCGCTGAGAAGAAAGTAGTGACAATTGACGTCGTGTAATGCCACTAGTAGTCTAGCAGGAGGAAATGGCATGTGACAGTGTGTGCTTGGTGATTTTATCAAAAGCGTCTCTCTACTCAACACAATGGATATGAGGAGCTCTTTACGGATACACTTAACTTGTCCCATCGAAAGTAAATGGAACGCTAATTAAGTATAGTATAGGACATTCCGTTTAATTCAATTAAAGATATTCAATTTGGTAAGAAATGAGAAATTAGGAAAGGCAGACAATGTTCGGCTCACATAGTACTTGATTTCAATTTAACATCTTGTTTCATCGAACTATGCGTTTTGTGCGCGCACTCAGATAAGAAGTTTCGATGTGTCGTGAATCGAAGTTGAGGTAAATACATGTAGTATATAAAAAATAATGTCTGATACAGACAATTGGTTTTGAAGTTTTGAAGCGAGGAAAAAAAATCAGATATTGAAATCATGAGACATAATTTTGCTGCTGACGTAATACTCTCTACCAACCTCTCTGATAAGACTTTCATGAATTTTCGTTGCGTTGTTAAATGCCAGTGTGGCCAGTGTATATACTGACTTAAATGTATTAACTCTGAGCTCAGCGATGTCTTTCAGAAGTCAATTGAAGCCCATTGTGTTTTAATCTGCATGTTAAAGTAACAAAACAATACTCAAACGTGTCAGAATAGAACACATGCGAGGCGATAGCGTTTTTTTACAATCGTGCATGCGCTTTCGTTAGGTTTGAAACAAAACACACAGAACAAGACTGCGCAAAGTATGCTAGCATGATCGGGCAGTTTTTTCTACAATTCGGTTACTCAAATTTTGCAGTTTGAAATATACTTGTATAGAACAAGATTGATTTATAACGAGTGAGTAAGTTCACATAAAAGAATAAAAGTTATCGCACAAATGAGATGTCGTCAAACATTTTAGCCCACTGGGTTGGCTGTATACAACTTTTGCCGCCGCGTTAGCGGTTGTGATTCGGTGATAATGGAGTTGCGATTCTCACGGGATCTGCACCGCGTACTAAAACACTCGTATAGTAATCATACAATCCATCGATAATTTGGGTAATAAGTTATTTTGTTTTTGCATTTTACGCTTTTTTACCCACAGTTTACACTAAAAAAACCGTATATATTTCAAATAAGTGAAAATATTGGTTGTAGGAATCGTGGCCTCTTCTCCCTTAGGAATTGAACATTGTGCAAATATATATACTAATAATGACCACTGTAATAGCGTTATTTGATGATTCGAAAAATGGTGTCTATAGAATAACCAACATTATTTTACTATCAATTATGCTGCGCACATCTTGGCGAGAGCTCCCGACAGGCAAAGCGACTGTTCAGCGCGCTGTGTGAACATGGTACGCAAAATAACAACACATCGGATATGGAAATCACATGTATTATATTACAAAATGGATACGAAAAGTCATACGTCACATTTAGATATATAATCATTGAAGATTCGCGTTCCAATAATTCGTATTATAAGTAAAAATTGCCATCGCTACTTTGTGACAAATTGTTAAATAACTGCCTCTAGCCGAGTCGGCGTTTTCCAAGTTATTTCGGTACATGTAGTAAACACGGCTATTACGAGCTATATTGTTTGCCTGGCATTATACGTCCAATTCAAGCCTTAAATTAAGCTCTATTTAAATTAATGGAGGGTGATTTTTGTTGCCAAATACCTTGTACTAGGGATGATTGCTGCAAACACACCAATTTTAATAGAACACTTAGGCGTCATTGGCAAATGTTAGAATATTACGAAGGTTCATACATACGTTGAATACCCTCTAGAAAAGACTGTGATAGCCCCAATTTTGTCTCATTATAAGACTTAATGGAAATGGGCCACCCGGTTATTATCGGTCTGTTATACATAAGCATCGGTTCTACGTAAAAAAGCACCTCGTTGCTCATTTCACTCACTGCGCTCATTACACGCCGTCGTATGTTTGCAGCCGTATTTGCACACTGTCAGCCACAATTTGGCAAAATTGCTGTAAAATTGGAAAATAGCCGCGAGGAGAAGTATCTCGGGCTCAGCTTGAATAAGAAGCAAAGAGGGTGTAATCTACCCAGTTTTGTAGACCAAGGAGACGAGCATTTTCTCGATAGCGCCGTGATCCCCTACTTATATGAGACTGGCGGGGATTCCTTTTTCTAATACGCCATGTTTTCATTGCAAATGTTATAGTCACGCCGTCAATTCATACGAATCAATTTTAGCGTAGGAGAAAATTACTACTGATAGTGTTTTAGTGTTTTGAATTAGTTTTTACTTAATAAGCAAAACATCATTCAAGAGCGACACCACTTCTCTTTTCGAGATACATTCTCAAATCTTTTAATAACAAATATATATAATTTAGGTTTTTTATATTGAGTGACCAATGGTTTATAAAGAATTTAAAAATAAAAATAAGTTCTATTTCAGTTTCAATTATTGATAAACAAAAAAATACAATAAAGTATCATGATAAAAGTGCTATCACCGTTGTTATTAGGCTGAAACAAGCCTTGGTATACTCACGTCCGATATTAAATTCGTATGTGAGTTTAATGTTTTGCTGCTATAATTGAGTATTAAAAACTTTTCAAATCGTGCATGTAAAACAGTTCGTCGTTTAGACTCGTATTGAAAGCTCTCATTAAAACAGATTCTTATTTCATTGCCAATAGTGGTGTATTAATGCAATAATATCCTTTATCCGTCCTAATTAGGCGGAATAATACCTTTATTCGTTCTATTATAATCCGGTCATCGCTTCTACCAATAGACGAATTACCACCAATGCCAACTAGCGGAGTGATACATTCATATAGCAGATATGTAATGAGCCTGTCTTATCACTCATATACCGCCGCTGTTACAGTTAGAATGAAAAACACGAAAATGTTGGCTCCTATCGTCAGTCTCTATTTATGCGAAGTGGAGGTGACAGAGTGTATGGAATAACTCACGTCAACACGATACTACGACTAGTTTACTGCCAATGCAACTGAATAACTACACACATATTGACAACGATTTGATATTGCGGTGGTGCTGTGGATTTGTCATATTTGCTTTTGCAGGTGCCGAGTCAATTCATGTATACTATGATGAACTTCGATGCTCCAAGTCACCGTCCCACATCGTTTCTCATAGACGACATCCTTGTTAGCAAAGCTGCCACACCAAAACACTTTCCAGACTTTTTCACAGCCCATGCCAGATCACCGTTAATAGAATATGGTTTCCCGTATTCGTTGTCACATTCATCAGCAACGCATGGTGCTTTCCTGGCTACGCACCCAGTACATCCTTACTCAAAAGCTACCATGGAACACCCGTATATTTTGCCGGCACCTCGTAAGTTATTTTTTAATTTGTTAAACTTTTCATTAGTTCAATTCCAATTTCAATGAAACCACCATATACATTTCAGAGTATAAAATACGCGACTTTGTAAAAGTTTGCTAAATAAGACGACAGTGTAAACCCCGGACATGCCGTGACACAACATATTTCGTTCATCAAACCAAAATAACACGTGCAGTATGTTTATTCTGTTTTATGAATGAAATAGGAAATGAAAGGATTCATGAGATCTTTGCGAAATCGGGTTGGTCATCTTTTGTGTCGCAAACTGAGCCCAAGACATTTTAACTACCCACCCACGAACTGAGTGCCAATACTGCACCACTCTTGACAGAAACAATATGATCATTTTAGTTTTCGGACTGAGATAGTTCAATGCTATACAATCTTTTAGCTCGTATTAATAGAATAGTATGTACCACAGTGAGATTAAAGATCCAGTAGAGTGTCAACAATGTCATCAGCTTTCTATAGATTCGTTCAAAGCGAGCGAACACAAACAATGAAAACAACTATCCCCTTGGCCTCTCGTAATCGCTTCGCTAGACATCAGACTTTTAGCTCTTGGTGGTACGTTCACTTTCGCACATTTTTCAATGTTTATTTTATGTCTGTTATATATTAGTTTATTATTATTTTCAGCTGGATATAGTTACTCGCCCCTTTTCCAAACTGATTCACCAGGAAAGCACTGCCGAAGAAGGAAAGCGAGGACGGTGTTTTCCGATCAACAACTGAACGGTCTTGAAAAAAGATTCGAAGCTCAAAGATACCTATCTACGCCAGAGCGAGTAGAGCTCGCCACTTCGCTAAGTCTCTCAGAAACTCAGGTAAGACTAGTTGACATTGCACCAACTGGCAGTTGTTTGATCTGCTCACGTTAATTGTATGCATTAAACAGTATTTGCGTTACCAAGATCATATTAAACTATATCCATATAACGGCACAGCACCAATAACCACCAGTAAACTTCTTTCCTAACTGGCGGGTTTCATTATCAAGATAAGCGGCACAATTACACTTGCTCACCATGAAGTATCAGATTGCTCAATATTAGCTTATCAAATAATAATAGAACACGCTATGATTACTATTATAACCCACAATATAAAGTATTGTATGTCTTATGAAATAAAGTAGCGGGTCATATTCATCACAGACCTTATCAGAGTTTGAATAACTTTCTGTGAAATAATAAAAAAAAATAACTTTGCAAACACAATTTTGAAACATAATATTTCATATCAGACAGAGAGCAAAACATCGAAAAAACACGATTAAAATATAATCGAACGATAATCATTGTAATACTCTAGTTCACAGCGCCGACATTACATTTCCATTTGACCAGCTATGAAAAGTGCAAATTATAGATTTTCCTCAATATCATTAAGTCCAACAAACCGTGAGAGCTTGTAAGTGTAGGCCAAAGTCATTCAGATCACGACTGAGCAATTATTTTACCACGGAGAATAAACTTGCAATACAATAGTTTCACGACCTGTATTTTATTAAATCGCGAAGCCGCTTTGTGTAGAGTTTTAAGAAAAGGCGTATTTGTGCCATCAGTCTGGTTAGTGGTGAAAAGATCATGTTAGATTCAATCTGACCACAGTTGTACTTTATGTATGAACAGTCGTCGCTTATGAAAACGAAATATATGATATAGCTGGCGGTGTATGATACATTCGGAGTATATTTAAATGTGATACACAACATTGAAAATATCCCATGTTACAGAACAAAA